GCTGCGGGAGGGAGGGAGGGGCACTGTGCTCAGTTCATTACATGTCACAGACGGGCACAAATCAAGCCCCAGAGCATGACAAGTGCAGTCTAAGACCTCAGATTTCTCCTGACCCTCACGTGTGAGCAGAAGGCACAATTTCCACTATTCTTTAAAAGAAGTTAAGTTCCTGCCCGGCTGGGTGTGGCTCAGCGGTTGAGCATCGACCTAGGATCCAGGCGATCTGGGTTCGATTCCTGGTCAGGGCACATGCCCGGGTTGTGGGCTCCATCAATGACTCTCTCATCATTGACGTTTCTCTCTCTCTCCCTCCCTTTTTCTCTCTCTGAAATCAATAAAAACATTAAAAAAAAAAAAATCTCTAACACTCCTGTAAGTTTTCACAGAAGCGAGTATGACTTGGAGGAAGTCTCCTTTGTGGTGTGTGTGAGAGCAAGATCCTGCGGTCCGAGACTTTTCCCAGGATTTTTTTTTTCTTGAGAGAGGATGACATTTCTCCAGATGTTTTTCTGGGGAATTATTTTTAAACAAACAAAGGAAAAACTAGCTGAGTGTTCTTCCCTCTCCAGCAGGGCAGCACAGCGTCTGATCTGAACACTAACAGCATCACGTTTGGCGCCGAGATCTTTTAGCCGCATCCAACGCTGCATCTTTTTTCCCTTTGATAACGACAGGCTCAGCGTCGCGATCACATGACCAAGCACAGGGGACCAGGCCAGTTCACGAAACGTTAGGTTTTAGAGGAAACAGTTAGTCTCGGACACTCAGGCAAGCATCTGCTATCTTTTCCCATCAGAGGTCAGCAGAGGACGCGGTTGCTGCATCACTACAATTCTTTTTACATGAAGTTTTCTGTTTATTCAGATAAAGGGACTGCGATTAGACCGTGTTCTGAAATTCCCTCAAGACATCTGGAATTTCCTTAAGAGGTCTGCTCATTAGAGGAATCATTCGCATACTTAAAAAAATGCTCAGTACGAAGAGATTTTTCCCATTATAATGCAGGCTTTTAGACTAAGTTGCTGCGAAAAAATAAAAATGTCCCAGTGGCTCAAAAATCTGATGAAGTGACGCCGCCTTTATATCTCATTTGTCACTGCAAATGTCACTTAAGTAAGGTCTGTAAGGGAGCCTGAAACACTTGTTTAAAGAGCTCTCAAAGTCAGCCAGAGAGCAGGCTGTGATGGGAACGGGACTGTCACCAGCATCGACTGCTAAGATTTACTCAACACTTGGTAGGTGCCAGGCGTTCGATGTGGCGCTGGCATGTGTTAGCTCCTGAAGCCTGCATCGGCCCCAGGAGGTAGGCATGCGATCGCCTCCACCTACAAGTCAGGCAACTGACGTACTGAGAGATGAGGCCCTTGCCCGAGGCGGCGCAGGAACTGTGCGAGAGGAAGGGCTTGAGTCCAAGTCTGGCCGCAGAGCCCCAAGTCCCCAAGGCTGTGCTGCACAGGCGCCTTCCCTGAGACCAGAGCCTCCTTCCACTGAATACTTGCTAAGTACCCAGGATCAAGCTGAGCACTTCTCAAGAATCGTCTATTCTATTAGGGTGACATTTTTCCTTTTCTGAGCTAGACTTTATAGTTTTCTGTGAAGCTCTTAAGTTCAACCTAAAACAAAACTCTTGGACTTGCATTCTTTTGTCCATTTCACTTAAACTAAACCAGAGTGTGTTACAGGACCTTGACCCATCGAAATTTTGTAGCATGTAATTTTGCCGTGGGCCTTGCTTTAAAAAGACAACCCTACAATTGGAAAGGATGGTCCTGTTGTCCGGCTGGGGAGACGCCTCACCGCTGGATGTAGGAGTTGTTCACCCCGCGGTGGTCCAGGTCGTGGCTCAGGGCGGCGATCAGCAGGGCGAGCACCTCCAGGTCCGACAGCTTGGTCTGCAGGGCCGGGAGTAAGGGGGGAGGGGGAGAGAAGGATCTCGTAAGGGCCCTAGACCACCTCTGTGCAGTCTCGCAGTTTTTATGTGTTTTATACAAGACTGCTTTGTGGTCGCAGAGAACCCATATGGGGGACCTGTTCTACAGGGAAACAGCTGTGCCTCATCTTCAGAATGGGGCTACTGCCCATGACACTTATCCACAGGAAGGGCTGAAGTGCCTCCACCAATCATCTGTCCACCACAGTGGATGTCATTCATTCCTAGTGGTCATTATATATACGTGGAAGAACCAAATAAACTCTGAATCACTGTCCTCGCTCTGCCTGTAGCTGCTCCCTGCAGGTCCTGGGCCTCCTCACTCTGCCCTGTAGCTCACTGCAGGTTCTGGGCCTCTTTGCTCTGCCCCGTAGCTCCCTGCAGGTTCTGGGCCTCTTTGCTCTGCCCCGTAGCTCCCTGCAGGTCCTGGGCCTCTTCGCTCTGCCCTGTAGCTCCCTGCAGGTTCTGGGCCTCTTTGCTCTGCCTGTAGCTGCTCCCTGCAGGTCCTGGGCCTCCTCACTCTGCCCTGTAGCTGCTCCCTGCAGGTCCTGGGCCTCCTCACTCTGCCCTGTAGCTGCTCCCTGCAGGTCCTGGGCCTCCTCGCTCTGCCCCGTAGCTCCCTGCAGGTTCTGGGCCTCTTTGCTCTGCCCCATAGCTCCCTGCAGGTTCTGGGCCTCTTTGCTCTGCCCCGTAGCTCCCTGCAGGTCCTGGGCCTCCTCACTCTGCCCTGTAGCTGCTCCCTGCAGGTCCTGGGCCTCCTCGCTCTGCCCCGTAGCTCCCTGCAGGTTCTGGGCCTCTTTGCTCTGCCCCGTAGCTCCCTGCAGGTCCTGGGCCTCTTCGCTCTGCCCTGTAGCTCCCTGCAGGTTCTGGGCCTCTTTGCTCTGCCTGTAGCTGCTCCCTGCAGGTCCTGGGCCTCCTCACTCTGCCCTGTAGCTGCTCCCTGCAGGTCCTGGGCCTCCTCACTCTGCCCTGTAGCTGCTCCCTGCAGGTCCTGGGCCTCCTCGCTCTGCCCTGTAGCTGCTCCCTGCAGGTCCTGGGCCTCCTCGCTCTGCCCTGTAGCTGCTCCCTGCAGGTCCTGGGCCTCCTCGCTCTGCCCTGTAGCTGCTCCCTGCAGGTCCTGGGACTCCTCGCTCTGCCCTGTAGCTGCTCCCTGCAGGTTCTGGGCCTCTTTGCTCTGCCCGTAGCTGCCTACAGGTTCTGGGCCTCCTCAATCTGCCCCGTAGCTCCCTGCAGGTTCTGGGCCTCCTCGCTCTGCCCTCATTGGCTCTGCCCTAAAGGCACAGAGAGCAAGAATGTTCAGCAAAACAATACACTAAAGGGGGTTAGGAATGAAAATTTGGCTTTAAAAGGTTGCATAATATATTTCAAAGCCAATCACAGGTTGTTTTTGAGTGGCTGCCATCCGTATTATCTATACTACTGTCCTTAGGAAGGAAACACAAGCTGAAATTCCTGTCGGCTCTGGTCTGCCGGATTCGCAACACTCTAAACAGCACATTCTCAACACACACAAAATCAGCATTCTGCCAGGCCGGCACTCAGCGGTCAGTCCTCACGACCTTTCCAGTCCTGACGTAAGTGAGCCTGCTCCCTAAAGATGTTTGCCCTGCTTCCTGAGGACAAGCCCTGCCATTAAAGTGCACTCCCTATGGGGGGAGACAGAGAATAAAGGCTCTAGAATTCTACAATAGAAGCGGCCCAGAGGCTCAGAATTTGAGTTCTGAGATGGGGCCTGAATAGCTAGTCGGTTCCCACTGGCATTAGAGTCTAAGGACAGAGGTGTGCATAAACCTTGGCCTGCGGAGGAACAGACTGCGGGAACACTCTCTGTATTGATCTTCCTTGTGAACAGTCTCTGGTCAATGCACTTGAAAGTTAACAAGGGATCAAGGGAACTGGCGATAGAGGACCCTGGACTAGCTACAAAGCGGGTTCTGGACCTGAGCAGTTTGGACGGATTCTTCTATGGAGCAGGTTGGATGTGAACATAAGGAGGATGACACTTTGTCTTCTACTGTAAAGGTTTCCTCTGCAGGACGTATTTATTTGCCCAAGCACCATTTAAATTCAACACGGAATTATTTAAAGACGATTTTAATGTTCCATATACATTCAATCGGAAAGTTTAGCAACCAAGTATTTTGCTATACTAGCCTTCTTTCATTAAAATATAATTTATTTTGCAACTGGCAATAAATAGTATTCTCAATCATCGTTAGTGCACATTTAAAAAACTTGAATGTGCTACCGTAAATTTTACTACTAGAGCAGCAAACTGTCTAAACCACATAAATGGCTCTAAAATGTACCTGGATTTTGCCTGCCTTCAGGGCGGCGAACATGCACTGAGCTGTGTTGAAGGCATGTCTCCAGTTGTGATAGGCGACGTTCTTCCGATAATTCTTCTTGACACTTAAGATCCACCTGCACAGAACCTTCGGAGAGGAAAGCATCCGGAGTTACAGTAACTGCTGACGCTGACCACACGCTCACCACACTCATCACGCTCCAGATGCTGTTCCCCCTGGAGCGTGGTAAGACACCCAATCCCCCCGACTCTGGGGGGCTCTATGATGTAATCATTTAACAGCTGAGGACCCTCAGAGAAGGACCACGCCCAAGGTTATGCTGCTCCTAAAGGGAGGGGCCAAAATCCACACCTGAGCATGTGGCTGCAGAGCCCACCCTGTTCACACTGTCACTAAATTAGATGCAAAATGCAAGGCAGAGCTAAGAAAGGTATCTGGGGCCTGGCTAGGGCGCTGACTAGGTTTTTGAAGGATGTGATGTCCATGCGTCATCAATTAGGAGAGTCCATATAGAGAGGCACACATGTATGAGGAGCACACTGCCAGAGAGCCACTCACACAGCCACTGTCAGGCTCGTCTTAGGCTCCAGCTGTTGGTCTGCGGAGACATTTAGAGCGAGGCTCGGGGGCTGATGGGGGACAAGGTATGAAGCACATGTCCAAGGTGGAGCTCCCAGTCCTGATGCAGTCATAGTTCTCTGTCCCTTTTAAACATACTTGAACATTCAGGCAGGGTTCCTGCGTGGTTACCAAGAAGTCATTTAGAAAAACAATATAGGCAAATAAAGCCCTGAGGTCCATATGCAAAAAACATATTTTAAAGATGGAACGAAAAAAGGATAGGCTGTTGAGAAGAATCTTACAAGCGGGGTTTAATTCGACTTCTGCATGGTGTGTACTCAGTAGGAACCCCCGGGGACTCGCGGTCCCTCGGTGTGGCCGCTCCGCGTCTGCGCCAGCATCCGAGTCGGCCTCTGAGCACCTCCTTTCAATTCCGAATGGTTTCCCAAGCTCCTGGGGATCTGTACAAATAACCAGGACGTGCTTCTTCCTACGCACATCACTGGAGGCCCTTCAGACACAAGGAGCATTGTCCTGGGCTCTGGAAAAGGTACCAGGAAGGGGGAAAGAGTGGCGTTTTAATGACAGCCAAGGCCGCTGCAGGAGGTTTAACGGCGGCCTCTCGGAAACTGCTCGCAGAGGGTCTGGTGGAAAGTCAGAGGCTTGTGCCCCCGTTTCCCTTCAGGCCTTTCGCTCCTGTTCTGTGACGCAGGCCCAGGGATGCTGATCCAGGGAAGCCGAGCGTCGCCTGCTCTTCCCTCCCAGCCACCACGTGGCGGAGGACTGGAGTGTCAACCCCACATGCTCTCCGCGTTTTGGAACAGAGTTGGCCAGCAGATGACAGCTTCCTTATTGGAGAGCTTTAAGTAATAGCTATAAACTTTCAAACTGAGCAGTGATGTAGAAAATGACTGGGATTAACTAAAGAATCAAGGAAAATCCAGAAATCTAGCCTGTAGACACATCACCTAAGGGTCAGAGGAGCTTCGGTGAAACTGAAGAGCGAGGTCCAGCCCCCAAGAACACCGCGAAGGATGCTGTGTCACCTTCTCCCGCTCCATCAGCCTGAGTTTCCACTCCTGTCGGCGAGGCTTTTGAGAGCAGACACTCACTGCAGAACCATGTCCCCAGACAGAGCTGGGCACATCGTCTGTGTTAATCGACTTGCATTTCATGAAGTAGCAGATGGCTGAATAGTGAGGCCTTCGAGGTGTTTAAATTCCCAGAGAGGAGATCTGTACAAGGAGACTAGACATTCAACTGAGCAGAAAAAGATAACTTTAAGGCGAACAACCGGACTTCTGTTTTCCAGGAGGTCCCCTCTCTTTCCTCATGCTCTGTGAGGCTGTCCGCACAGCGGGTGAGACGAGCGGACTCCCGGCCCCAGCCCGCTGTGGGAGGGGATGGCCTTCAGTCCCGCTCTTATCTGGGAGGCAAACGAGGTTGTTGAAGGCAGTAAAAGTTCATTTTCATCTTCCCCCACACGGTGGTCTGTGGGCGCCCAGAGCTGGCCTCACATTAGCCCTTCATGCTCTCATTTCCGGAGGCGCTGACTCAGCCCTGGCCCTTCCCTGACCGGTGACCAAGACCTCTGCAGTCAGACCATGTCACCTCCCTGCTTCAAACTCCCTGGTGACACGCCGATTCTCAGGGCAAAATCTTGATTCCTCTGAGCAGCTTACAAGGGTCTCTACGACAGGCTTCCTGTTCCTGACCAGTGCTCCCTGCCAGCCCCACTTGGCACAGTGCCCCCCATCCCCAGCCCTCCCCACCCTCCTGTCCTCCTGCCTTTGCACATCCCGCTCTCACGCTGGGAAAACTCTCCCTTAGTCTGCAACCTGGTGCTGGATACATGGTGGGAACCCAATAAATGTCTTCAGAGTGATCAGCAGTTTATCTTTAAAATTCTCTGGCAGGCATTAGGTAACAGTATATCCGTCGCTGAAACGTAAAATCCAATACCAACTCTCTCTTACACACATGAACGCACACCCGTGTACACACACATGTGCACACATGTGAATGCACACCCGCACACACTCACACATGCACATGTGTACACACTGTACATGCACATATTCACACTGTTCACACGTGGAGCACACGACACACACACGCACACCCACCCACCCACACAAGACACGTGCATGCACACACTCACACATGCACATATCCATACTGTTTACATGCAGGACTCATGACACACACATGCACGCACCCCCCCC